CCCTTTTATCACCTGTTTCATAAAATCACATTTCAAAAATTTGATTTTCTCAAAAACATCAACAAATCCTCAGTGTCATGAAGCTTTTACAAGGTATTCCACTAAACTAAGATAACACATGAAGGACATATCACCAACATTAGCATGAAAAACAGATTCTTCAATTTAGGGACATACCCTTCAAAGCTTGTTTCCTATGCCTTGTAGGTATAGCAAAAATATTTGTGCACCATGACACTGATTGCTTCAAAAACAATAATTTTGTTATTGTTCATAAGTTAACTTTAATGACTAGACAGTTTTCTGTTTTTAATATAACATTTCATAGGTATTATTGATTTTTGCCTTTTTATATAATTATAATATAGTTTCTAAAATCCACTTATTTATACATATTCAATGTTCAGGGTGATTCACCAAATTATTCGAAATGATTTTTCAGAATTTTTTTTCCGGTAGCATCAGATGTAATGAATTATAGTCGGGATAATTCCAATAACTATATTCAATTGATAATTATGTTTCAACTACACTTCAGTTAATATCAATCTGATACCATAGTGATATATTATACAGTGTCATATACAGTATATACAGTACAAATGAATTATAGTCGGGATAATTCCAATAACTATATTCAATTGATAATTATGTTTCAACTACACTTCAGTTAATATCAATCTGATACCATAGTGATATATTATACAGTGTCATATACAGTATATACAGTACAAATGAATTATAGTCGGGATAATTCCAATAACTATATTCAATTGATAATTATGTTTCAACTACACTTCAGTTAATATCAATCTGATACCATAGTGATATATTATACAGTGTCATATACAGTATATACAGTACATCAGAAAATATAGGGTGATCGGAACAAATGATCTACGTACTACTCGATTTTTTCAAATGGAACACCCTGTATTTCATTTTATTTTTAGATTCTTGCTGAAGAGCTGATTTCATCAATGCATCACACTTGGGGTCAAGCGGGAAAGATTACAGAGATATAGGGTGTTCAAAATCGAGATATTTCTAGTTTAGGATTTTTTTGTCTCGAAACTATTCATTATTGGTCGAAACGGCTTCTATGTTTCCATCTCAACTTTTGATTTACTGTCTACTGACATTTAATTGGAACATTTACAGGGTGGTACAAGATTCATAATTTTGATCACCCTGTATCTGTTCCAATTATTGAATGTCAGTAGGAAGTAAATAGAAAGTTAAGACGTGGACATGGAAGCCGTTTTGACCGATGATGAATAGTTTCGTCTCAAAAAAATCCTAAAGTTGAAAAATCTCGATTTTGAACACCCTATATCTCTGTAATCATTCTTGCTAGACCCCAAGTGTGATGCATTAATCAAATCAGCTCTTCAGGGAGAATCTAAAAATACAATGAAAAATAGGGTGTTCCATTTAAAAAAATCAAATAGTACCCTGTAGATCGTTTGTTCCGAGCACCCTGTATTTTCTGATGTAGCGGAAAAAAACTTTATCGAAAATCATTCAAGATGATATCTCAAATTTTGAAATCGGTTTAAAAATAACTGAGCTAGAGGGGGGGACATTCATGGTGAATCACCCTGTACCATAATATTGTAATTCCATTATTGAGTAAATAATTAAATTGATTGCTACCAGCCACAAAAATTTAAAAAATAATATAAATACACTCACCGGCAAAAAAAACCGACCATCAAATGATTTAGCCAAATTGTTTGCTCTGTAACTTTTTCAATTCTAGTCCGATTTTGGTGAAATTCCGACCAAATTGTAAGTGCATGCTTCCAAATGTGAGCCTGAATATTAGTTCCTAAGAAAATCTGATGACTCGATCATTACACAGGGAAAAACGAAAGTTACTTTTTCACCCTTAACTTCTTAACGCCCAGTGGGAAAGGTAAGTAGTTTAACGTAGCTCCATTATGTTTTAGATTGAATAGTGATGGTTTTTTATTCACGTCGATAACCACTTTTTAAAGGAAGATACAAGTGTTTCAAGAGTATGGATTTTTCAAATTTTTATTTACAATAATTCAGAACCATTCTCCAACCTCTGCTTCATCATGTTTTAAATCTCCTTTTTGAGAGAAGATACAAGTGTTTCAAAAAAGTATAGATTTTTTTAATTTTCAATAACAATAATTCAGAACCTATCTGCCTATCTGAGGGGTGACCTCTAGAGGCTCATTCGCCTTCGCCCTGCCTTGTCGGATACTCTTCAAGAGCTACGATTCGCCCTTCAAGGAGGATTTCAGACAATTCTTCAAAGCTACTTGAGTAATTTGATCAGGCTTATATCACAAAAAAATTGTTCTTGCTGTGAGCTCCCTACGTTTTATAAAAAATTATTGAAATCCCCGATTTTTCGGACCTCTGAAAACGAGACGATGATGTGACGTCAAAACCCTTATACCAAAACAAGACTATTTCCGACAGAGATGAATGATACATGATTTCTGACAGAGTGAATCAGCGCGAGATCACAGTTGAAAGAATTAATATATCAGTTGCCTCAGTGTCCGTCGGGCGTTTGGTATTTTCTTTTAACTATAGCGAGATGAGGTTTCTACGTCATAAGAGGGTCCGTTTTCAGAAGGTACTATTATTTATGTCCAAAAATAAAACATTCCACATGGTTTGAGTTAAAAGTTTTACTAAGGTGTACACGCCCATTCGATGCCACTGCGGTTGAATGCTGTAATTCAATATCGAGGAGAGCATACTCGTTATTGACTACAGGTCTGCTTCTTGTTTGTTTTTTGTAATTGATTTTCTGTTAAGTGCTATAAAATTAAGATAGAAATATGTGATGATATTCCTTGAAGTTGTTAATCAATAAGTTCATGTAAGTTCTGATTATTGGAAAAAGAGTTGAAAAACACCATACTTCCTTGAAACACTCGTATCTTTTCTTGAAAATAAGATATTGACGCGAATCAAAAACTTTTGTGTCAAGAAGGGATCACACTTCAATCCGAAGCATAATGAAGCCATGTTCAATCACGCAATTTTGCTACAGGATGTTGAGAAGTATAGGGGTAAGAGTAACTTTGTTTTTTTTCCTGTATAATGATCAAGTCATCAGCTTTTCAGGAAAACCAATATTCAGGCTAACATTCCGGAACATAAATCTACGATTTGACCTAAATTTCACAGAAATTCGACGAGGATTAAGAAAGTTACAGTGTGAACAATTTGGGCAAATTTTTTGGTAGCCGGTTTATTTTGCCGGTGAGTGTATATCAGCAACCACGAACATATATCTAACCATAATGTTGAATCCATAAGTTTGGAATTTAATTTTGATAATAGTAATAATTGACGATTACTAGTTTCTCACCAGTTGAATGAAACTTTTTCCAACTCAAACTTCTCGTCATTGAAAAATTTCATTAATTTACAACTTAGTTAATTTTGGGTTATATCATTACCTAGATCATATATTGTACGCATCTGCATAAAAAATAATTAAAAACCGTGGCATAAAATTGAAACCTGTATTCCACGAAAAAATAACAGGATCACTACCTAATTCAGCTGCAATAGCACAATTATATACATTACAAATCACCGGATTGAACAGTTTTAACCTAAAATATTGAACAAATTCCCTTTGCCTGGCAATTTCAATTACAATCGTCATATTCATCAATTAAAATTTTGTGAAATATCCACCTCTTCTTTGAAACTCTATATTTTCTTGGATAATTGGGACATCAAGATGAATGAAAAACGAAAATATTCGGGATAGATTGGGCTATAATTTGGTGTTGGAAAATCGTTTCAATTATCAGTGGTTCACTCCACAGGATGTCTTAAAGAATACCGAAAAATCCGTACTTTCTTTACACCCCTCTATGGGTGGGCCACGGTAGATGGCACCTTAGACGTTTACGGAGAACGGGACATAAGATCATTCTGAAAATTTGGTTACTCAAGTAATTGCTCTTGATCTATCGATCTAAAATATTTTCAGCTCTGCGGCGTTGCCGCTTCTATCGAAAAGTAGCAACAACTTTGTTATTTTAAATGGAACACCCTGTATTTTATCGCATTTTCAGATTCTCTCTGAAGAGCTGATTTCATCGATGTATCACACTTGGGGTCTAGCGGAAATGATTACAGAGATATAGGGTGTAAAAAATCGACATTTTTCAACTTTAGGAATTTTTTTTGTCGAAACTATTCATTATTGGTCAAAACGGCTTACATGTCCCTATCTCAACTTTTGATTAACTATCTACTGATATTTAATTGGGACATATACCGGGTGATCAAGAATCTGAATTCTGCGCCACCCTGTATTTGTTTCAATTAAATGTCAGTAGATAGTTGATCAAAAGTTAGGATAGGGACATGTGAGCCGTTTTGACCAATAATGAATTCCGCTAGACCCCAAGTGTGATGCATCGATGAAATCAGCTCTTCAGAGAGAATCTGAAAATGCGATAAAATACAGGATGTTCCATTTAAAATAACAAAGTTGTTGCTACTTTTCGATAGAAGCGGCAACGCCGCAGAGCTGAAAATATTTTAGATCGATAGATTAAGAGCAATTACTTGAGTAACCAAATTTTCAGAATGATCTTATGTCCCGTTCTCCGTAAACGTCTAAGGTGCCATCGACCGTGACCCACCCTGTATGATATAAAGACGAATCGTTTGGAGGTGGTTATTTCTCAGATGTATTCGTGAAGAATGAAGCTACAATTCGTGAAGAAAAAAATTTGTATCGAGTGATCGGTTCGAGAGAAAATTGATGTCAAACTTAGTATAAATTTTACCCGTTCCCCTAATTATGCCAGTGTGTGTATGAATGTGTCTTTTCTTGAAAACAAATCGGGGTCTCGAGATATTTGTTCCATACTTAATGATCACCCTGTCCATCAATTATATACATTTCTGTAATTAGCTTGCAGCCAACGAGCAGCGACTACCTTCCCTACCTATCACCGATGCCATGAGCCGCAGCCCCAAAGTCACCACAGCGACTCGAAGTGCATGTTGGAGAAACCGGGGCTCTTCCTCGTGTCCCAATACTTGCCGTTGTATTGCCACGTATCGTCTTGGGGACAGGAGAACCACTTGGGCTCGTAGCTCATGTTCAGTTCCTCTCTGCGCTTCCGCCTGTAACGAAGCACATTCGAGATATTGTCAAAAATAATAATAATAATAATAATAACCTTCATTCAACAAAAAACAGTTCTCAACACACTAAATGGACCACTCATAATTTGACTTTATTCCGAAGACCTGTATTTCTTGAAAAAATTTACCGATCTTCATGCGGTTTTCGATATCAGATGTGATATTTCATCGGCTTTAAAGAGGGTTAGAAAACTCCGAAAAAGTCCGCAAAACAAAACTTACACAGGGTGTAAAGTGGAACCATTACACTATGGTCTCCATTTCCAATGCTGCCAGAACTCGAGAATTTTTTTTCTGATCAAAAATCAGTCATATTATGATACACTGGGACCTCATCTCGGGATGTTTTCGTGATTTCTCCTCAAGTGGCCATTGGAACAAAAATTGAATTCTTTTTCAAAAGTCTTGCATTTCTTGAAATTTTTCTCTAGAACTCCACCTCAGCTGAATATTGGAAAGAACTGTTCTCATGTTTTGTGGAGGACAATGAAAGACGATAAAAGCACTATTGTGGAATATACAGGATGATAAGAAAATAGGACGAAATCTCATTTCAGTAAAAAAAAATCAAAAATGGTGACTAAAACCATGGCCCATTCGATTCAGTATATTCAGAAACGGCCTTCTTGATATCCATTATTTATATTAGACTATCAACTATAGACGTTTTTGAAAATTCGCCTCTAATTGAAATACAGGATGGAAATTTTCAATTCAAACTTGTTTCCTGATATCGATGATTCTTATCAACTGGCCTTTTGGTTGAAACACAACCTCACTCTTCTGTGAATTATTCAAACACAACCTGTCTTTTATCATTTGTTTACAGAGGAATCAAATGATTGATATAGTTTTTCACAATAATTTGTCATACGAATCGTGTTTTTTGCGTTATTCATTAATTCAAGCATGCCTTCGCATTGTGCTGTTGTACAATGCACAAAAAATGCAGCGAGAGACGAAGGAATATGATTTTTCAGGTAAATATTAATCTCACATAGTTCTCATTATGAAATGTTGTCATTCATTATTAACATTCCTTCTGCCTTCTGCCACTTCTGCAATACAAGCTAATAGATTGAGAATGTCTACAACACACGATCGTCAGGATGTCAGACAAATCCTCCCGATTGATCGCAGGAATCCAATCTCCTTGCATTATTTTAGAAAATTCACGTGTATTTCTATTAGCTCCTATTGCAGAAGGAATTCCGATGAGAAATCAGAGAAGTTACCAAATTTCAAAAATGAAAACTATATGTAAGTGACTATAGTAGGTACTTACTTTTAAATCATAATGTACCAACCGGATTCCTTCGTCTTCCTCTGCAGTTGTTGTGCATTTTACATAATTGTGAAAAACTATTTCGATGACTTATAATCAAATATGAGAAGTGAGGTTGTGATTCAATGGTGTGCCTCCAGGGTCGGTCATCTGACAGTTCTTGCACGCAACCCATAGGCGAGTATACTATTTTTTTTTCACTTCTTGAATAGCATCATCACTCAAATACCTTTCAATTTGATATTTTTTTATAATTTTTCGGTCGAAAAATTAAATTTTGTCTCACTTCTCATGGAAGCACCCCCGTATCTCACGTAATTATTGAGGTAGGGTTCTGAAATTTGCCGGAGGAAGAGAAAGTCCAAAGATAAAGTCAATTACGTGAGATACGGGGGTGCTTCCATAAAAAATGCGACAAAATTTCATTTTTCCGAACTGAAAATTTTCCAGGAAAAATTTGAATAGTTAGTAAATTGGGCGTCCTGATTCCAAATCTGAAGTGATTTTCGACCTATTTTGACTCCTAATATCATTTTCCGGAAATTGGGGTAGTTTCATGGCTGTTGGCGAGCAGTGTATATCACTGAAGATGACCCCACTTGGTCATAGAGTGCATTTTTGGTATATCTCTTGCTCCAGCAAATTTCAGGATCCTTACCCAACGATTACGTAAGATACATGGGTGGTTCCATTTTAAATGTGTCACACTGCATGAGAGAAATGTTTGAAATTTATCAGTAAGTTGTGTCCTTGACTGGAATTCTTTCCTTTGTTCATTGATTGTTTTGTTTTATTGTGATTCATTTCGATATCCTTATTTATTATTCATGTACACTCCTACTAATGATTGTGTAGTAGTTCATAGATATTCATTACTCATTATTATTATAAAAAAAATGAAATTTCTTATCTCCATCACTGATACTCGCAAAACCACCACCCACCTGTCCCTCTGCATCCCCTCCAGCCGCATCTTGCTCGCCTCCGCCCCCTCCAGATCCCCCTCCTCCAGCGCCCGTTGGTCGGGACGCAACCGCGTATCGGTGGGCGGCAGCAGCCCCGCCTCCTGGCCCAGCTCGTTCAGCTCGACGGCGAAGCGCGTGAAGCCGTAGTAGCGCTCGTGGTCGGGCGGCAGCGTGCCGGCGCGCCACACGCACCGCGCAGAAGGGGCGTGGCCGGCGTACAGAGACTCCGACCATTTGCCGAAGAGCGGGCGGACGGGGCGGCCCGATTCGTCGTACACCGCGCCCACCACCTGGAAGAGTAGGGTAATGTTTGGAGTTCTATTGTAGCTCTAATACCACTGGACTACAGTTATGCACTCAGTGTACATTTATCCTTCATTAATCATATTTGACAGCTGAAGAGAAAAAAACATTCAGTGCGGAAAAAGTTCATGTTTGAAAGACATACTTCTTTCACTTTCGGACGGTGTATATCAAAACTGAAAGTCGCCGCTAGTCCATTATATACAAGTACTCAGATTAACCATCATCAGTAAAGAGCGAAAAGTTTCTGATATTTTTTATTGAACTATTACAAAAATAAAAACGGATTCTAGAAGAAGTAAAAAAAAAGAAAACAATTATTGTCATTGAAAATAAAAAAGTTCAATATTTTCCATTGAAACACGACAAACACATTTGCGGTTGCCCGAGACACTCTTTGCACAATTGTGCGTAATTTTGCTTCGTTTAGACATTATCTTTAACAAAGTTGGTATACTTACTTAGTTTTCGAACTGAGGACCGGCAACAAAAGGAAATCATGCAAATAAGCGTCTTCCATATTTGAAAGACGAGGCCACAAGCGCAAAACCAACGTTTTCTTCCAGGGACACGTCTTTCATAAATGGGAGACATCAAAAAAAGAGAGGGAACCTACTAAAAATTGAACAGAAACACTTATTTATTGGTGAACAATTCATTCTGGTATTGAATACATCAAATATTGCGAAAAAGTAGTATGACCCTTGGCGTAAGTCTTCAGATTACAGCGTGGCACCCAATGTGTTAATATGTCATTTAATTCGCAACTTTTTCGATTCCGGTTGCTACTTTCATTCCGTTTCACTACAACGAATGACGTGGAATGACTGTCGATGGTTGTCAAAAAATGAAATTAGATTGACCAAAAACGAAACATTTTGAAAGTAGAAAACATTTTTATCGTGAGGTGCACAAGTTTATGTTTCTTTCAAGTAAGACAGGCTTCATATCTTCATTTCCAGATGAAATGAATTCTCTCAACCTCAGAGAACTTTCTCCAATCACCACAATCACTGCTCCAAATACGCGTTGATTCATTTTCTTGAATTTTAACTCTAGTATTATGATTTTGATATAAGGATCTAGTAAGATTATTATTTATACACATGTTCGAAATTGTGAAGGCCACACAAACCAAAATGGAGCTGTCAATTATCCGTCACTGGCAGTTTTACTCCAGGTAGTCTGTATCCTCTGTGAAGAACTTGGTAGTCTTGAAGGTTTGATCCGAATAGATCCGGCACGAAGGACCAACATGATCGATGCTTGGATTAAATAGTGTACTGTATTTGTATGGTTATATGATATATCTTATGTTACAACAACACGTCGTGATGTTAACAACAAATAAATATTTCTTAATCTATATAGGATAATACAAGTATCAAACTTACAAGTACTAAACAATGATATTGAATGTTGCAGTTCTAATTTAAGGAATTTTTCTTGTTATTTTGTGCAACTCTTTTATTTGGCAGCATTGCTTGCCTGTTGAGTTTGCATTTTCAGTTGAACATGAATAAAAAAAAACATAATATATGGAAACAAAAAATACTCACCTCGTGCCTCTTGGCCGACCAATAGCTAGCCTTCGAGAACGTCAGCTTACAAGTTATCCTCCCGTTAGTGATTTTCAGCTCTCCGTACTGGTCTACCCACCGCTGCCCGCTGAACAAGTTGTGAACGCACGTGGTCACCTTGAAATAGAGAGATCACAGAAATTACAAAATAGTCATGGGAGTTCAACATAAACACATGTCCTCAATATCTGAAAACTATACAAGTAAAATGAACTGTTCATGACTATTATACTAGAGGTAAAGATACTTTTGTTGTGAACCAAGCAGAGAAAACACAGACGCAGCGCTCAGAACCTAAAGGTGTAGTGGAATGGAATATAACAAACAAGAAATTGAACTAAAGAGTCCACTGAATATGTTTAAGAATCATGTCAAAGATTTCATCTGAAGTGAACATACGGATGTAATATAATAGAATATTTTTTGGTCACTTAACAATGTATTTTTGGAATGTTTTATAATAAATTACGACTACTAATTCTACTACTAGACCAGTGCTGAAGCCTTTGAAAACGGTAAAAAGTGAAAAAAAATTATAGTAGGTTGAAACCCATTGGAAAAGGAAGATAATATAACAAGGATGAAAGGAAGAATAAATTACGGAAAGTGGTAGTGGGTGAGTTTTCAAGAGTAAAAAACGGTTCATCTTAATTTTCTGCAAAGCTACAAGCCCTATGAAAAAAAATCCACTTCCCGCCCTCAGATCGACGGTAATTTATTTATTCTTCCATTTTTATTAAATTCCCCTCCTTCTTCAATAGGCTTCATTCTACTATAATTTTTTCAAGCTACAAAAATTTTCGACCATGGTCTATACCTTGTTCCACGTGTACAGATCGCCCGTCCTGGGCAGCAGCACGTGTACCTGGCCCAGCGGCTGGAACTCCATGCTCTTGCCCCAGAACTTCGTTTTGACGCGCGCGTCCTGCCAGAAGGTGAAGTTGGGGCTCTCGGCGTGGCAGGCGCTGATCGGGGGATGGTGGGACACTTGCTCGGCGATGAAACGGAAGCCCTTGTCTTCTCGCGTGCATTCGAACGTTTCGCCTAAATAAAGATAGATATAGATACATTATCATCATGATTATTATTACCATTAGGAGCTTCTATCCAGGTATGTTTGTTTGTTTAGGTCAACGATCTCATATGTAACATCGTTACGTTATTGGTGGGTAGAAGTCTCCCCTTCTTATTTTGAAGTCAAAAACATGATCCTGAATTTTCTACACGTACTTAAGAAACACCCTGTATATCGCACATTAAGAACAATAATGTGACATCGAGAATTTACTTGCGTAGCAGAGGGTTGAAGGACTGAGCGTGCTCGCGTACCTCGACAGAACGAACACCGCTATCCCCACGATTCGGGATTTCATTCATTTATCCGTGTTTTGTGTTCAGGATTGTTAGCGTATACTTTTTAATGATTTATAAGAATTCAATTTACTTGCCTAGCAGAGGGTTGAAGGGCCTGTTCGCAATCTCCACTATCCTCTCGTACGAATCGTCCAATGTTGCCGCTCTGTCGAGCAGCTCTGAGTACTCTAACTCCTTGCATAGGCGCTGCAGCACGTTGAGCAGCAACGATTCCACAAAATTACCCCCACTATTCATTCAACGGTGTTTGAATCCATGAATGAATCGCGGTGTCTATCTATTGTTATTTAGTCTGAGTACTCATCAGCAAATCAACAAGTGTCTGTTATTACCAACACTTTTCGCGAATTCATTCATTTATCAGTGTTTGTTGTTGAAGCATATAATTTTTAATTATTAAGGAATGATTTTACTCACTCATCAAGTTCACCAGCATCTGTATTTTATCATTTATTTATCATTTTAATATGTTTGTACCGTATTTTACCATAATGTCGTTTGTTTTAAACTGAACCAGATATTTTTATGGACAAATTTCCTTGTTAACCTGACGAGTATGCACTGATGATGATTCAACAGTCGAAAGCGCTCTGCTACGAATATAAATTTGAATAAATTATCTTGCACGAAAAACAACACTTCCCTTCTTTGGTATGAATTTACTTGCCTAGCAGAGGGTTGGAGGGCTTGTTGCCAGCCCGACTGAGCGTGCTCACGTACCCCAACGAGGACACAACGAACACCGCTATCACCACCATCCGTGTTTTGGCGTTCAGGATGGTTAGCGCATACTTTTTAATGATCAATGAATGAATGGCAGTGCCTGAGAACTAAATGGTAACATTGAAAATTTAATTTACTTGCCTAGCAGAGGGTTGAAGGGCTTATTCCCTGCCCGACTGAGTGTGCTCGCGTACCCCGAAACAGCAAACGCCGCAATCTCCACCATTCTCTCGTAGGGATCGTCCAATGTTGCCGCTCTGTCGAGCAGCTCCGAGTACTCCAGTTCCTCGCACAGGCGCTGCAGCACGTTGAGCGGTTCGTTCAAGGCCACCGGCATGCTGATCTGCGATAGGTCTTTGCCGATGTTGCGGCTGAGCAGGTTCCACAGCGAGAGGCCCTCGGTGGGGGGCCGGGGACAGGGCAGGACCGTCCGGCGGCCCGTCAGCCCTTGAGTCTCTGGAAGGGGGGAAGGATGAATGTAGCCATTACTAGAGTTCCTAAATGTACTTGACACTGCTGTTTTGACTTTTTTTTTTTATTATGACAGTACACGGACGTATTGGTAGGATATAGAACATTCTTAAACGCATTTTCATCAGGTACACTTCGAAAGGGAAGATTTGATATTGAAGAATAAGATCGTAACAGGTAAAATACCGTAAGTTGGTAGCACTGCAACAGAACGCCAACACTCTCTCTTTCTGTCTCTAATCTTTGTTGTCTTTTCTATCCTACACATCTGTAAGGTTTATTAGTCAGTGCTTCAACTCACCCCCGACGTCGATGCTGTTAGCCGAATGCAGCTCGTCCCCCAGCTCCGACTCGCTACTCACGCTGCCCTCGCCGCTGCTCAAACTGCCTGCCTCCGAGCTGCTCTCCGACCGAGTGCGCACCTCGGACTCCTCCTCTTTGCCGCCGCGCGGATACGCCCCCTCCCCGCCGGAAGCCTCGCCCACGCCGCGCGAGTACTCGAGCGACAAGTCCTTGGAGCGCGCGCGCATATCAGACTCCTCCTCTCTGCCGGCGGCCCCGCCTCCTATATGCGCGTGGGCGGCCGGCCTGTCGCCGGGCAGGTCTTCGGCGTCGAAGAACTCCGTGGCGCTGATACAGGATGAGCTGTAGCTGAGCGACGCGTTGTAGAGTTTCTGCGAGTGCTGTGAGTGGAGAGAAATGGGTGAGAGGTAGAAATATACGGCTCTTTGAGTGACCCCACAGTTATTATAGCCGTTGATTATCAACACCAACAAGATGAACCACCCTTATAGGAGCAATGAAGCCAGAAATTATATTCAGTAGGCGCGGTATCTATTACAGTCACTGGATGGTATTAGTTTGATAAGAGTTCGGACACATCTGAACTTTTGTCCTTTTCTATTTTCTATAATACAATGGTTTGAGTGAATAAAATAATAAGCCATATATTCTGCTCTTCGTATTTTCAATTTCCCTAGTAGCGCCTGATTTTCAGATACGATTTTAGAGATTAGATTTTCTGTGAAATCAATCATAGCCGTAGATGGCCAATGGAAATAGGGTACAAACACCCACTTCAATTTTTAGTGATACACTTCTAGCAGAACAACTGTTATATAAACGAAAAGAAAAAAGAACGCATGTTACAACATTTTAATACTAGAAAATATACACATATGGATGAACTTATAGCTATAATTCCTTATTGTATGTGAAACTGTACTCCAGTGATAAGTGTAAAACATGAAGTTATTGATATGAAATTAAAGGTAGGTATTCTCAATATACAGGAAGTAAGATAAGTACGTTTAAGTGAAGTATTCCTGAGAAACTTTCAAGAAATAAAGTCTATATAAGCTTGTGTCCGGAAATGCTCCATTTCGGAGATACAGGGTGTTGAAATACAGGAAACAAATAATTCTTCGATCAAAATTTCATAGGAAAAAAGTAGTTTATTTTGACGAGACCTACCAAATACTTGGTTTTGTAAAGTTCTCAGCAACTTCACTTAGCGCCCTAGGAGCTAAGTAACATGGATTAATATAGAAAATATCTCCAAAACGATAACCTCCAGCGTAATTAAGGCCCTTATAATAATTCCCTTGACAGATAAATAACTATTCACTCGTCTCTGTTAAATTTTGAATTTGGTCGGCACCAAAAACGCCATTCAATAATATATCACGTTGTAGTTCACTTGCTTTTCTTAGTTTCGTTTTCAAATTTTCAATTTCATTATGCAATTTTGTGATCATTTCCTCTTTTTCCATGATTATTCTGTTTTGTATTTTGTGTGATGATAATGATGGAATTTTGTTCTTGAAATCGTCTGCTTTGTAAATTGATGGAACAGCAGATTCTCTCAAACAGATTTTGAAATCTTCTGTTTGAACATGGGCCTAAAATATAGTTTCATTCTAATCAAATGGTGGTAGACGAAGTGAATTTTAGTACCTCACTAATTTCGCTCGTCTTCAAATTGATTTTCCACCCAGGCCTTTTTATATCTTCCTTCCACAAGGGCGGATCCAGAAGAGGGGCGATAGGGGCGATTTTATATAAACTGGGCAAGATAAACACTGGAAATTTTGTGATTCTAAACATTCGAAAACCCTAACCGTTGTCATTTCTGTGTCCGAACTCTTATCAAACTAATACCATCCAGCGACTCTAGTATCTATGAGCGAGAAAGTGGAATACTTTTTGATGAGTAGTGAAGGGAACACAATATTTCTATGCAAGAAGGAATGTCGCATCTAGGCCGGAATAAAAGCTTTCCGTCTACCTCTATCCAAATTATACATTTCCTGACCTCATTGTAGGGAGCAAAGTCGGACTTTTCCTCCCCAGGAGGAAAAGTGAAAGTGACGTCAATATCACCGAGATAACTCCATACGGCATTGACGACCTAAACTATATTCTATTATACAGGGTTATTTACGTTATTCGACATGGAGCATTGTGGCTAAAGCACTTAGATCAGAGATGAGTTTCTGGTTATGTTTAAATAAATATTCAATCTCAAACAATACTTGGTCAGGACAATTTGATAGAAAAATATTTGACATCATTTGATTACTCAGAATTGAAATGTTATAACTTTCATCTTGAGAAAAAGTATGAATTTGTTTCCTCTGAGTGGAATTCATTAGTTAACCTTTTAATATTATTATTCTTTTATGTGTTCATGTATCCCTATTATGAACAGATATGTTTCTTGGGGTAATAAAAACAATCAATCAATCAATCAAAATGCACATATAAATAATACAAAGTGAGTCAGTGAATAAATGATTGATCAGGATCGCCGACCAAGATGAGTAATTCATCATGAATAACAGCATGTGATTGGCGGAATCTTCTGGAAAAAATGGTGGAGTGGGGGGGACCCTACATACCCCAATACCTACTGATACCGATATCGCTCACTAGACTAGACAAACAGGAATATTTAGTAAATATTATAATGATGTGCATTTCCAAAGATTGACTTACATTGTTTTCTGACAGATGTTCAAGCTGAGACATCTCCGTTAGATCGGAGGCTTCGTGTATCCTCGTAAGCCTACTTCTAAGATCCGAATTCTGTTGGAGAACTTGATTGAGATTATTCTTTAAATTGACAATGTTTTGGTTACTAACATTAGGGGGCGCTTGCGCTTCTGTCTCGATGGCCGTCTTCAGTCTGTCTCTTTCGGTGCCCAGACCGAATGTCAGCGTCTTCAAGCTACCTATTACTAAAAAAATTATCATGAAAATATACATGGTTTTCTAAGTTTGACTGGTTGGTCCACCTTCGAAAATCGGTAGAATTATAAGAGAAACTCCATCCAATATGTTCACATACTGGGTGATCTTCTGATCTTAGACATATTTGATTTCCTCTTTTTTAGATCAGGTTAGGTTAGTTCAAATTATGATGGAATTCGTTACATTGATTCTCAAAAGTGAGGCCAGTTAAATAAATTGTATAAAATGAAATTTTGATATGTCAGAATTTAAAATGTTATTATTTCATGAAATATATCCTTTTTCTTTTGAAGGGAAAAACTCACTTTGTTTGGCTAAGGTTATGAAATCCTCTCTCATCTGGTTCTCGGCCGATAATGAAATCACATCGACATTGCTCAAGCTGTCAGGGGTGGGGGTGACACTGGCGGGAACAGGCAAATTGGTGGTGCTCAAAGCATTCTGTGAAGCGGAGAAAGAATTAGCCTAAAAAAAATAAAAGGAAAATAAGCAATTAAACCAATAAATAATAACCAGACCAACATTTATGAGAATTCATGACAAGCTACTCTGGAAAATGATAGAGAAAACTCATTGGATGTTCGTGAATACGGTGCTCAAACGTTCTACCTGTCTGACCAATATATACTTTAGGACAAAATTCTGACTGATGTGTGTTCAATAAATGTACTTATTTCAAAATCAGCTTATTCAAGAAACAAGTTTGAACATGTTGGGTACTTTTTTAATTGAGTATCCCTCGAGCTATCAATCTCCAAAATGTATGGGACCCAGATTGATCAATATCAAATCTAGTCATATTTTTTATGTATTCAAAAATCATAGAAACAGTTTCTATTGGAAAATGTTATTATTCTGTATAAGACTATCTCAATGGAGATCTAATCTTCATATTTACTTTAACTGTACCTGCATAATCACATCATGGAATTATTTGAGAAATTTAAACCCCTTTTATGAATGTTTTATTGCATTTTATGAATGTTAGTTTTAGTGTGTTTAGCTTAGTGTATGTATGTTGGTGACGACTCTTGATGCAATTTTCAATTTTTGTCAGTTAAAGAAAAATAAAGACTTGCGTTGTAATACTTGAAAAAAATAATCCAAGAGAAGTGAATTCTATTATTGTAAATGTCATCAACTTACAGATAAAGGGGAAGGATTGTCAGCATCAGTGCCAGTAACAGATTTACTGCCGCTAAACTGGATAGTCAAATCTACGCTGCCGCCCTTAGAAGAAGCAGATTTTTTCTTCTTCAGGCCGAATTTCCTCCTGTCTTTCTTAACACTTGGCGATAGAGCTTCAGTAATACACTGAAATAAAGAAAACGAAAAATGTTAGTGACACAAAACAATAAATTGAGGTATTCATCTCACTGTGAAGTTTGTAAAAAATTAATATACAGGCTGATTCACGGTGGATGGCACATTAGACGTTTCTGGTGAACCAGACAACGGATCATTTTGAAAATTTAATGGAGGGCATATTCGGACATTCTCTAGCCAACTAAAATATTTTCGACTATGCGGTGTTGCCGCTTCTATTAGAAAGCAGTAGCAACTTTGATTTTTCAAATGGAACACTCTGTATTTTATTGCATTTTTAGATTCTCCATGAAGAGCAGATTTCATCGATGTATCACACTTGGGGTCTAGCGGAAATGATTACAGAGATATAGAGTGTGAAAAATCGACATTTTTCAACTTAAGGAATTTTTTTTGTCGAAACTATTCATTATTGGTCAAAACGGCTCACATGTCCCTATCCCAACTTTTGATCAACTATCTACTGACATTTAATTGAAACAAATACAGGGTGGTGCAGAATTCAGAATCTTGATCACCCGGTATATGTCCCAATTAAATATCAGTAGATAGTTGATCAAAAGTTGAGATAGGGACATGTGAGCCGTTTTGACCAATGATGAGTAGTTTCGACACAAAAAAATCCTAAAGTTGAAAAATGTCGATTTTTCACACCCTATATCTCTGTAATCATTTCCGCTAGACCCCAAGTGTGATACATCGATGAAATCAGCTCTTCAGGGAGAATCTGAAAATGCAATAAAATACAGAGTGTTCCATTTGAAAAATCAAAGTTGCTACTGCTTTCTAATAGACGCGGCAACACCGCATTGTCGAGAATATTTTAGTTGGCTAGAGAATGTCCGAATATGCGCTCCATTGAATTTTCAAAATGATCCGTTGTCTGGTTCACCAGAAACGTCTAATGTGCCATCCACCGTGAATCAGCCTGTATACGTATTTTTCCTTTTTTTCGTAAGATCAAATTTCACTTCAGAAAGAATTGAATAAAAGAGGAAGTTGGCTCCTCCACCATTCCTATGACTTACTTTCTGAAAATCCACATTCACACAGAGTTAAAATACGATTCCCTGTGCCAGTACGACGTTGCCGACATCATCAATATGTCTAGATTTCCGGAAATTGTTCTTTGAATGCATAATAGCTATATCATAACAGCAATGGGATATGATATAGGTTCTTCAATCCTACTTTGTCAAGTATTATGGATAATCCCCCTAAATCTCTCATTGGCTGAATGAAGTTGATTACTAATAAAGATAAGTCTTCATATTTTGCGATAGTATCTATAATTTTTCACTATCGTTATATTACAATTTGTTATTCATAACTTGTCAATCATTTTTTGAATTGGATTATAATTACAAAACTCGTTCGCCATATGATCTTCCTCAACAAGTTAATACCCTCTACATACCTATTATTAAAATTTTGAATGATTTTCTGTAGCGCCCATGGATGTGACGTGATAGCAATGTCAGGGATGCCAGTAGACAAAACTAAAGTCTCTAGATCATTAAAAAAAGAATGCAGCTATGATCTGTCCGCATCCTGTTAAGATGACTTTAACGTCAATTTCCATCAAGGGTCCCTAACCTAACCTGACCGATGGCAGAAAGTTAGGAAAAATAGTATAATTGAATGTAGCCAATAGTGATTTATTGATTCAATATTTTCGTTTAGGATCGAGCTCTATTCGAGATATTTCAATGCATAAATAACAAAACCATAACCTGTGAGGATGAAGCCAACTACCTTCTGCATTCCTGCTCCGAGTACATTTATGGTTATGTATGTTTTTGTTTACCAGGTTTAGTTTGCCGCCCCGAAAATTAGAAATTGCTTCAATTTAAAAATGAAAACGACTTGGACTTTATCGGTCGCCATTCTGTACAGCGTGGACATAAAACTGGAGAGTTCCGAACTTATTTTATGAAAATTCATCTGAAGGCAACTTCCCCATTCCATAGATTATTCCTACCTCTGTTACAATAGGATTACTGCTTTCTATCTGTTGCAAGAGCCTGGAGAGTTTGCCAATGTTCTGTTCAATGATGGCAGCGTCATGCTGATATTGTTCCAAGCTTGTAGCAGTTTCTTGCACCCATATAGAAAGCCTCCTGCCCCCGCTAGGGGGCTGCAACCCCCTAGTCAAGCTGCCGTCGCGACTCAATATCTCAGGAGTCCTTGATATATCTGAAAAAGTTGAAAATTATGGTTACTTCAACCACCTATAGGTACTCATGATTGAGGATCGACCGATACCTATACACATATTGGTATATCGGCTAAATCGGACTTAAGAGGGGAGTTACCAAGGTCATCTGAAAATGGCTGGAATGCCGACCTCTGTTATCTTATGGAAGTTGTGACAGGGGATTGGATAGTTTTGAGGGCGAATTTTGTCTGATAATTCGCGGGAATCAATGTTACCAGGTGGAGCTCGCTTTTCATCGTTCCATGTCGAAGCCACGTCAAAACTGGGGGAAAACAAACTTGATCCTCACTCAATCCCATTAGTGCTATTAGCTTGTATACTGTACTGATAAGAGTGATGTTTTCAAATATCTTGACTTTAATTGTCAATATTCGATCGAAAACGCTAATAATGCCTGTTGTAGATATTCTTTGGGCAAATATTTTGCTCTATTTAGACAGAAAAAGCCGACCAGTTGTGGAAGGAGAAGCAGTTCTCCCTGCTAATCATGTGATTTTGTGTGAGGCAGAAGACTTCAACAAAAGACACATTTTTGCACTTTGTCTACAAATTTCGGCGATGAAATCTTCCCCACATGAAGTGAAATTGAAGTTGGGGTCCAGAGGAACTCCTGTAGAACAATGGATTTGTATTTGTTCATGCTAAGCAGAACAATCTGGGTATTGTAAACATGTTGTAGCTGTTCTTTTATATGTCAATTGATTTGCTCGTCATAATTAGTTTGAATTGTTTGAACTATCTCCAATTCTTCACCCGTTCACTGTTCACCAAACTAATAAAAATGTAATGTAAAAAAATTAACCAACTCAACCATCATCACTACCAACAGTGCCAACACTTTATGTTATTGACAAGTTTGACTACAGCTACAGCAAGCTGAATGCAATGTAGTCTATGCACTTTATCCTTAGACAACAGTTTGTTTTCCCCCAGTTTGAAGTTCGTATTATGTAACCTAGATGTCGCCCACTTCGTGAATCTCGCGAATAGGTATAGACCATACGATACAATTCAAATAAAATATTATTTTCATTAATAAATAGAAATTTCTGTCGGTCGGGTCGATTGCTGCTCAAAAATGAAATGGGGTTGTACACACTAGTTGGATTTACGCCATATTTCTATTTTATAAATAGATGGAGTCATTCATTATTTGAAATCATCACAAATTTTTTTTTTCCTGGACAAAAAAACCCATTTCAGGTTATAATTTCAGAACGAAAAACCGACCATTTCCGAAGGCAAGTACTTTTCGTCCGCACACACTAACTTTTTATCTGCAAACACTTTTCGTCCGCTGCATGGTTGCCAGTTCTACTGAATTTTCAGTAGATCTCCTGATTTGCATATTGATCTACTGATCTACCGACACATTTCGTAATCTTCTGAAAAATATTTTGACACTTAGTTATTATTAGAATTACCTATATTATTATTAATCTTTAGTCAATCATATACACTTATAAATTGCATGATATTTCGGAACACTCTGTTTAAATTAATTTTACAAAATAAGTGATGAATTTACATATTGGTACTGATAAACCAAAAGAGGGCAATACTTTATCTGATTCAGATCAAATTCAATTTTTTAATTACAACCATATATGTAATTTAAGGTACGCCATTCTTGAGATTGAGATATTCAAGATTTTTCGACATTTTTGACAGATGCAGACATGACGTGGTGTTGCTGCAAAAATTTTCAAGGACAATATTTCGAAAAAATCATCAAGATTGGTCATATTTCAAATTCATATTTTAATGTATGGATTCAATTATCCACAAATTAAATAATTATTAGAATTAACTTGAACTCTTTATTTTAATTATCAATGACAATTCACATCAATCATAATCTGACATAATTCCCAAATGTTATATAATGAGGGTTCTGCCACATTACTCCTCCCCTAGCTTTCGCGAAATTAGTCTTTAAACATTACTCTTCTACCATAACTTGACATAGACGAAACAGCATTATTATCTCTTGATCCATCATTCATTTTTGCTTTCATATTCTTATCTTCGATGATATCTCCAGAAATTTCTAAGAAAGCTGGTTTTAATCGAATTTAAAATATTTTCTAGTTCTTTCCAAAATTCTATGGGGGCCAGAATAAGGCTGCTGCAGTGGTTTCTTAACAGAATCAATTCTGAGGAATGCATGGCTACAGTGGCGAAGATCTTCAAAAATGAAACTTTTTCTGTTGCTGTCAAGCTTTCGAAGATGTCAAGAAATCAATAGCAGAAGCAACACTTTTGGTCCATCCTTCCACATCTTCACCAATATCTTTGATGGTCGATGCATCTGATTTCTGTATAGGAGCTGTAGTTCAACAAGAGAAGAATAAATCATGGCATCCACTAGGATTTTTCTCAAAAAAGTTGTCTAATTCTCAAAAACGTTATAGCACGTATGATAGAGAGTTACTGGCAATATACGAAGCAATTAAACACTTCAGATATATGCTAGAAGGTCAAGTTTTCATTATCTTCTCAGATCATAAACCTCTAAGTTTTGCATTCAATAAAAAGCCCGAAACAGCTTCTCCAAGACAGACACGATATCTCGATTAAATCAGCCAGTTTTCAACTGATATCCGATATATTGCTGGGAAGAATAATACTGTTGCCGACGCTCTTTCAAGAATTGATACTATAGCCATTAAAAATCATAGTGAATATGATGATTGGCAAGAATATCAAAATGAAGATAATTATGGATTCTATTATCCACAAATTAAATAATTATTAGAATTAACTTGAACTCTTTATTTTAATTATCAATGACAATTCACATCAATCATAATCTGACATAATTCCCAAATGTTATATAATGAGGGTTCTGCCACAAATGAATACAATTAATAAAATTAATCAGCATTATAAACAAAACATTGCTATCTTCTTGAAGTTTATGATAAATATGGGTCAGTATCAATACACAATAAATATTCAGTAAGTATGTCATTGAAAAATTTTAAACAAGAGCACCGTTAGATGGATATGGAATTCGCATAAAACGCTGATTCAGGATTACATAGACTTTTAGCTGGCATGAGGATTAATGAAATATATTTGAGGATACCTAGTGAGTTTCGTGTAGTTTTTGTGGTATTTTGTATTGGGAGTTATTTTGTGCGGAGTTTCCTGTTGGTGAGTTAAGGAACTTTACCCTGTAAAGTTTATGCAAAGTCAGTTGGAAAAACACATCACCGCAAGCCGTCGGTCCCCTTGTAAGTTCAAAGAGTTCAACTGACTTCGCATCAACTTTACTGAGTAATTTTTTTTTTTTTTTATTGACTCGACCATTACTTGTTGGGAATCCATGGCAAATGTAAAAACTTCACAAACGATAAGATTTCCACAAAATTCTCAAACACACGACATGTTTCGCTAACACAGTAGCTTCGTCAGGTGATATACGGGTACAATGAACAGTTCATTGTACCCGTATATCACCTGACGAAGCTACTGTGTTAGCGAAACATGTCCTGTGTTTGAGAATTTTGTGTAAATCTTATCGTTTGTGAAGTTTTTACTATACTGAGTGTTGTATTGTAGATTTTTTCGTTGCTGGTCGTTTGTCCAGAGATTATAATGATATTCCCAGATTTATGATAACCTGTGAATGTTTTATCAAGTAGTGGGTATCTTGAGTAGATATCATATACGCCCTCATCTACGCAGGGCCTACTCTATCTTACCGGGCCGGAGCATCGCTTTCGCGACGTCACACTAGTAGGGACAAAATCAACGCCCACTGCGTTTGTCTCTCCCGTTTCATTGATTTACCTCGGGAAAACGGTCACAGTTAGCGAAAACTATTAAGAGGTCAAATATGTACATAAAAGAATTTTCCAGAAGATGAATCAAATTTCACTGATTTACGATCATTAATTTCAGAAATATGGCATATCAAAATCAATTGACGCCTTTCAGAATTGTCCTTTTTCAAACAGCTACCAAAATTCCAATATTCAATTCACAGAAATGATTCAATCATGAAAAGATTTCGCATAGTATCTAGATTGACTGAGTTTTTTTTTCAAATTCCCAAGGGCCTACAACAAACCGATATTTCAATTTAAGTAGAACGATGATTCAGGTGTTCATTACAGAATAGTTCAAAAAGTTCGGACGCCTCCCATGCTAATCCTATCAACTATGGATATATGCTGTCACTGACTTTTATGTAGGAAATTTGATTGCCTACAAATCGGTATGATACACATCCACTTTATCTCGAAGGGTTTTAGCAGCGTTTATCTCTAAAGATGATCAGGACGCACTTTGATGACGTTAGAAATCCTATCACTCGAGTGTGTTATTACACAAAAACGCCTATTCGGTATTAATTATTTTCTGCTGAAGAGTATATATTTGAATGATAACGTTGAATTAATGAAAAAAATTTTATTTGAATATATTTGCAAACTATCAAAATTAAAAAGAACAAAATATGTGGAGTTCATATGAACACAACCTAACAAAAATAATTGAAAAAATATGTATCTCAACAATGAGAGATATAAAAATGAATATAACGACTGAATAACAAAATACCCAGAAAAACGATATATAAATGGATAAGGAAAAAATGAAAAATAAACGTTGAATCGTTAGACACAAACAAAACCAAACAAAATAAACTGTAAAAATGATCAACATAACAAAATAAAAAAAATTGATAGATATCACAAAATGAAATACACTAATAACAAAAAATATATATACATCATCTTAATCACAAACTAAAAATTGAAATCTGAACTATATCTCATCCTGAAAGTTTAGTGATTTTTCTTTTTTAATTTTTTTTTATTTTGCAATAATTGTTCAACAGAATATTTGCAATGGTTTTAGAGAATGTTCTGCTGATTCCATCAAAAGACCCACAACTGCAACATTGATTCTCGGAATAATTGAGAAGGGAATTGATTTTAATTTTTGCTAAATTCTCCAAAACTTTATGTTGTGACTTACATTGTACAAATAGCGTTTCGAATTTTTCAGACACCAATATTAGTTGGTCTGAACCATACGCCATTTAGAAATAAAATGAGTAATAAAAAGTAAATCGCCCTTTACCAGTCCAAGGAATTACAGTGAAATTTGGGTAGGTAGGTATAACGGCCCATTTTTTACACGCTCTTTATATTTAATTTCTTTCGGACTCATTGTAGGTAACTCTACAATTTTTTCACTATTCAATTGATTCATTATCTTAGTTTGATATATCGAGTTAGTTTCATCTTATTCGAATTCCAAATTTGCAAAAAATAGTATTCTGTAGTACAACGTCCTGATTTTCAATAAAATGGAATTTCGTTACAACGCCATAACTCGGTATTGATTCATCCTATTGGATTCATTTTTCCACCAAAAGTTGAGGAATTTGTTGGGGATCATTTCGTCTCGATTGAGTGTGCTTTTAAAATTTATAGTAAATGAGCTATAGCCTATCAATTACGAACGCACCAGTACGGACTGATGTGAAATCTCAACCTACTAGTGTGACGTCAGCGTCAAGAGAGAGGGGATAGACTACGGCCCGGTGAGATAGAGTAGGCCCTGATTTACGGCATAGATTCGGTAAACTCGTCCAGAGGCGCAACCAAGGGAGGGAGCACTAGGGGGCCAGTGCCCCCTTTTTTCTTCACACTAACTACCTACCAAAAAAAAAACGTATTCATCCTTTTATCTTATCTTTAGGTAAACGTAAAATAAATATGAATTAGTCTAGAAGTGTAAAATCACTGTGGAATAGCACAATTCCCAATTTATTGTTTTCTTTGTCTTGTTCAGTCGTTCATAGTGATTATCTTTCAGAATTAAAGCTAGGCAAGTCATAATATAATAATGATCTTTAATCCCTTTCACCATTTTATTAGCAGTTAATTGTTTTCAGACTGATTAAACTTAGTTGTTACAGTGAGTGAGCAGTGAAAAAGAAAGTCCATGACTATAATACATTTTTTTGAAAAGAAATAGCTTTAATCAGAAACTGCCTCAACATCAGATGATCATTTTCTATCTAGAGAAGGTTAAAAACCTAGGTACCAAAGAAATTCGGTTGAAGAGAAAAACCCTAAGTCCTCTCACTTCTAAAACAAATAGGACCACATAGAATAAATTTTGGTGTATGAAATTTATTATATATCTCCTTTTTTGTATTGTATTCTTGATAGTATTGTGATATTACTATAAGAATCAATATTTATTAAGTTTTTATTAGTTTTTCCATTCTGTGATGTGATTGCTTTTAGCGTTTTTCGTGAAAACGTAAATTATTTAAAATATAAAGGAATACCTAATTGTATATTTCCACTTATTTATGTTTTGTATGAAGGCACATCGAAAATGTTTGTGAATCCCCTAGAAAGTGATTCTGATTGCGCCACTGAACATGGTAACGACTGAACCCGTCAGACTCAAAAAGTTTTGCTGCCCTTTACTGAGTATTATCCCATGCAACAGGGGTAGTTTCTCTATTCTCTACAGGGTATGTCACGACGAGCTTTCACTATTTCAATATGCATAAGCATGCTCATATTTTAGAATACGCTCTCTTCATTTGAAATATTTTTAGCAATGCAGTGTTGCCGCTTCTATCAAAAAGTAGCAACAACTTTGTTATTTCAAATAGAATACCCTGTAGAGCTGATTTCATCGATGTATCACACTTGGGATCTATCGGAAACGATTACAGAGATATAGGGTGTTCAAAATGTCCCTATCTCAACTTTTGATTTAGTATTTACTGATATTTAATCCAAAACAGATACAGGGTGATCAGAATTCTGAATCTTGAACCACCTTTGAACACTTTTTACCGTTTTCAAAGGCTTCAGCATTGTCCTAAGAATCTACGGGTGAAGAGAAAAAGGAGAAGAAAAATATGTTTTATCCAAGATTTTTCTTGTATCATTTACTTCCACACTTACTGTGTAATCCGTCTACCGCTTTGAGTAGGGCCCCCACATTGGCCCCGTACGTCAAAACATGCTGCCTGTACAGCCTGTGAGCTGTCAACTGTTCCACCCAGCTACTGAAGGTCTCCTCGGGCTTGGCCTTCAGGTGGTAGATGAACTCTTCAGCGTCGATGTCGATGCGTCGCCTCTTCTGCTTGGTGGAAATTACGGAGAGGCCAATGTCCAGGGTGCCGTGGATTTTGCCTTTGTTGATTTCCGCGGGCCCTTTACCGTACACTAGAATCCCTTTGTCGATCATGAAGTATCTCTGGAAAACCAATAGCCAAATGTCAAACTGGTTATACATATTATATCTCAAGATTCTAAAGGGAGCAATATGTTCTTCAAAACTTGTGACACCGCTTCGACTTGTTTGCCCAATATATTTCTTGTCAATCATGAGCCATCACAATGTATTTCATGAATACCTGACTCCTTAGTATCACATTCATCTTCAGGTTCACCTAGAAGACTATGAATGGTAATTTTGGCAGTAAAAGCTACGTTCAGCCGTCGTTATTTTTAAATACCATTTCAATTTGTTTCGACTTGGACATCAGCAGGAAACTCCACGGGTGGAATAATATTTTATGGGTCAAAGTAACTCAAACATGAAATATATTGGGCAAACACGTAAAAGCATAGTCACAAGATTCAAAGAACATATCAGGTGAAAGATGAACTCTTCAGCGTCGATGACGATGCGTTGCCTCTTCTGCTTGGTGGAAATTAGGGAGAGGTCAACATCCAGGGTGCAGTGGATTTTGCCCCAGTTGATTTCCGCGGGCCTTTTACCGTACACTAACTAGGATCCCTTTTTTGATCATGAAATATCTCTGGAAAACCCATCGCCAAATGTTTTGTCAAACTCCATGGTTTATACATAAATCTCAAGATCCTCAAGTGAGCAATATGTAATCTTTGGTAGAAGTCCATGGTTTCTCAAAATGGAGTAAAGTAGTTACTACTAAATAATACTTGAAATCATCTCCATGACATTTCAATTTCAATATTGAAATTAGGATGTGACCAAACTTTTTTCATTCCCAGGACACAATCAATGCAGCAATTTTTGATTAGGCTGAGAATGGACATATATATGTCCAAAACATGTACCAATTGATTTGATCATTTGATCATATTAAAATGTCGCTTACTTTGAGTATTATTTAGTAGTGAGCAATATGTTCTTCAAATCATCACGGTAAAGGGAGGAATAATATTTTATGGGCCAAAGAAAGTCAAACATGAAATATATTGGGCAAACACGACGAAGCATAGTCACAAGATTCAAAGAACATATCCGATGGTAGATGAACTCTTCAGCGTCGATCCGTCGCCACTTTTGCTTGGTAGAAATGACGGAGAGGACTATCTCCAGGATGCCGTGGATTTCGCCCTTGTTAATCTCTGAGGGACCTTCACTGTACACTAGAATCTTTTGGTCAATCATACCTCTGGAAAATCCATCAGCAAATGTTTTGTCAAACTGGTTATATCTCAGGTGAGCAATGTGTTCTTCAAATCTTGTGACACTGCTTCAACATGTTTTCCCAATATATTTCATGTTATAGTAATACCTAGAAGACTATGAATTTTATATTTTTTGCAGTAAAAGCAATGTTCAGCCATTCCAATTTTTTTGACTTGGACATCATAAGGAAATTTCACAAATCTGTTGGTACACGATTTTTATGCCTAGCTTTTTTTTATATATTATTCAGTATATTATCTACTATAGAATTATTACAGCCACTGTTTTAATGTAATTCAATTCAGTGGTATACCATACCTCTCTTTTTATGTAAATTCAAACATGAAATTCATTGGGCAAAACAAGTCCAAGCATAGCCACAACATATTATTGACATATTGACACTAGTCACCCAAGAACTTATCAATAATGCAAAAATGCAAGAAATAATAAGAAAATGAACAGTTTGGAAAATATTTACATTGATCACAATTTATCTTGATATTCATTAAAACAAAACTGCTCCCTGAACCTTGAAATAATTAGGTATAAATACAATTTTGCAAAAATATAAAATCAGTTTCATTGATAATTTCTAGAAAATATGCCAAAAGTTACAATAGACTCAGCAGATCATTATCTTCTTCACAGTTCTACATGGTTCTACTGAGGATCAACTTTGTTGGCAAAACACATATTTCTTAATAGATTTATTCAAATTTATCATCATTCAAACCAGCAGATATTTTTTTCATGAAATTATGTGTTATCTATTTTGATAATTGCACTTTAGGTGATACCTATATTGAGCTAGGTACAAAGTGTTGCAGACTGAGCAAAGGTAACAAATCAAGTAACAAATTTGTTATCTAGTACATTTAAAATGGTGTAACAAAAGAGCTGTCTGAAAACACATTATCAATTTACAACATGTATTAACTGTAATCCTCATTAACTCATGGTAAATTAACAGAAACTTTGAATTGAACATATAAAAATTGTATTGTTCACTATGCAGAACATGTCATGAAAAGATATATTATGATAATTCATAAAATCATTCTTAGTCTACTACTTATTCATTTTGATAAAAATGCAATATCTTATTGTTATCAAGTGTACTTTATTTTAACAGACTATACATCTGATGTAATAAATAAATGCTGAATTAGTAATGATGAACATGGGCACAATTCCAAAACTGATGGAAAATAAATCACAGATTTTTTATATCCATTTTTTGTTGAAATTTTAGTGGTAAATAGAAAGTAGGAATGTCCCTCATTAGATAAAAATGAAAACATACTGAGGGAACAGAGGGGGAAACATTTAATTTCATTCTCAAACTACTAACTGGATGAGTGAAAAGATATAATAAACTACAGTAATAAAAATAAGGACTGAATTATCGAAATCAATTCACAAAGTATTTTATTTTTTTGCATGTCTATACATGTAAGTATAAAATGATGATAACCATGGAGATAACCATTCACATTGAAATGAATACATAATTATAATATGTGACTGATTATGAATGGAAATTAATACTGGTCTGTTTTTGTGGAGAAGTGTTATCTACCATTGCTCTAAATTACCAATTTCAAAACATTGTTATCTTCTATAACAAATAAGTAGTAGGAGGTTGAACCACCTTGAACATTGGGAACTAACCTTATGCCACCCTTTCAAAGGCCATTTCCTCTTTTTATGAAGATATCCTGTGAAGGGGTTTGGCTTATTATCAAACCTCTGGCCATCTTTCAGTCCTTCCATGATCTCCCATTCAGAGCCCCTTCTATTCTTCTTCCTTCTTTTCTCATTTCTTGGGGGGTGGTTTTGTTCTGTAGCACTTTCAGCACTCAAACTGTTTGTATCTATGCTAGCATCAGAATCACTAGCAGTAACTGCACTATTGACGACTTTCAATTTAATTTTACTAAGCTGTGGTGACTTCCTCATATCAGAAGTTGCCATTGCCATAGGTACTGTTCAACTGAAATTAAAAATAATTGCTAGGTGTATAGCATGTATGTATTATCACTGCATATAGAGAAAATAATATGTATTTGCAGTTTTGTGACTTTGATTTATGATAATGATTGAGAATTGCAGATGTTACATTGGATCTTGCTAGCAATTTGGGTAGTAACGATTTTTCGTCAAGGTTACTCTAGTTTCATACATATTCACTGAGATTTTTGTACAAATTTGGTCAATCACAGTAGTTTAAATTAGGTCATTAATACTCTGGGTTTGATATAATGAGAAATAATCGCTAAATACCTCAAAGGGAAATGTTTTTGAAGCCAAACTGTATTTACATGGCGAATACATCAAAGTTCCAATAGTATAATTATAGTTTTTATGGAAGACCAATAATCTGAACGATTTGTCGGGAACTGGATATTTTACGGCACTTCAACGCATTCAAGCTCACAACAACCACTGACGACTGTCGGCACTGTCTTTACTATTTTCGTTTTCAAAGGAATTTTTTATTTGTATATGTGTGATTGTGTGTTTCCAAAGCAAAACCACCGTCACATTCACTTTAGTTCTAATTAATTCTGAGGAAAATAGAAGAAAATCTCACTGACAGACGGCACACGTGTGACGTTAGTGACGTACAAGAGTGACGTACATTTTTCATCTTTGACATTATTGGCATCAGACAACTGGCATTGACAATGAAGCGCCACATTTGAAATTCGGAAACGAACTTTCTGTTTGATTTATTTTATTATGCATATTTCTTGAAATCCAACCAGATTCTTATAGTTTCATATTCAAAATATAAAAAAATAATGGTGAGGACTGGGAAGAAACCTTACATGAGCCTTACAAGAAAGGTAGAAGTAGGATTAGTTGCATACGCGGCAGGGGCGGGCCTGTTCTGCAACTGCTCTGCAAGGTTGGTAGAATCGATGATCAATCATCGTTCGTCAGTCGCTTGTCGCTTGTCAGTCGTCACTGTCGCCAGTCGTCACTCCTCTTTTCAGTCTTATCTCTCTCATTCTCATTCATAGGAATTGGAATTATAAACATCTCACTCATTCATCTCATCTGTCAATTCATCAATTTCTCTCCCGAGCTCCACATCCGAGCTTCTAAGAATATCAGAAGCCAGTTTTCTTAAACAGCAGATAGCATATAAAAGTGATAAGTACCACCAGATAATTCCGAAAGATTCACGAGATCGTCTAGAATGTCCGCAATATGTCAACGTTTTTTTCTATCAGTCAACAAATAAAATTGAGACAGATTGAACGAATCAAGTACCTCAAACAGCTCGTGAAGGTTCATTGAAAGATATTTTTTTCACATAGAAGAACATAGTCAAAATGCCAGTGATATCTGTGGACAGGTTGCCCCTGCCCAACCTGAAAGCTTATTCTTGTGTTAGCGTTTTAGCCCTATCTGCTTGTGTATACTATGCCATTCAGGCAATCAAAGAACCTAATTGGAACACCATGTCAGATACAGGTAGAAGAGCTACCCCAAATGATTTTGAGAGGTACAATCCAGGGTACAATGGTACAGAAGCTGATGCAAGAACTGTTGGACAGTTTGTATCTGATATTTTTACTGTAATGATTCGAGAACCTGTGTGTGTTTGGGTGAGTTCTTATTGCATAATTACATTCAATGGTATTTACTGTGGGCTTACTGTATCTATTCTGATGATGGTAATGATGATAATCAAGTTGAGAATGGAATACAGGATTATAATATCTATAATAGAATACATCATTTAAAGTTCTCTCACCATCTCACCAATATCATAATAGATACTAAATAGATATCCACCAAATACCAATTGGTGCATGATGAATAAGTGATTGTACTGTGTAGAAATGCAATTTTCTGATTCAAGAATTTTAAAAATACAGAAATAGGTACATTCATTTGAGCAAATTACCTGGCAAATTACAGCATATCTGGCATGATATACACATTAATAATTTCCTGATAATTTCAAATACCTATTTAAACAAACTTGATATTCAATTCCCAGATTTTTGTTTATTCAATGTTTATTTTTGTACTGTTTATAAGTAAGTGATTGTTTTCCTCATTATTTTCATTTTACTTGTACTCTTAGTATAGGGAATGAACTTGGTCCAGCTTATCAGAAAATCGATATTAAATGAAATCATTCTTGATCAAGAATTGATGAAACAAGTATACTAGAGAATTAAAAAAAAATAGATAAATAAATAATTTTAAATGGAAAATTTTTCATGAAAATCCCTAAAAAATGTTTTGTAATCAACAATATTTTCCTCATACCTATGACATCAAGTAAAAATTAAAATATTTCCCTTGCAAGTAGATTCCTCTGGATTTTTGGGATTTTCTCTCCTTGTCTGTAAGAAAAATATCAATATTATTTCAATATACCTGTAGAGAAAAAAATTTAAATATGCTCCCTAAAATAAATTAAAAACAATTGATAGTCAGTGAGACCTTGTTTTCAGAACGTTTGATCAACCTACAGGGTGAGTCAGTTTTTTTGTAGCAGGATTTCAACAGCTCAAAGAAGTTAATATTTTAAGATAAAGATCCCATGTAAACATATATCCAAAGAAGCCCTATTTCCGATGTACAGGCGATTTGATATTTTTATATATGTATATTTTTTGTGTTTTTCAAGTTATGCCATTGACTTTCATTAACACATTTTGGGGCTTTTGATCATGACGGGTCTTCTAGTCAATCATTGAGAAATGTCAAATAAAGTGTGTTCAAAAGTTTCATCACAGGTAAATTATTTTTTGCATTTATCTCATAATCCATACTGTTTTCACATAACATAATGAGACAGCAGAAAGTATCCCAATAGAACAGAAAATCTAAATTAAAATTTTTAATTGAAAGAAGAGGCAGCAAGCAAAAAAGTTCAAAAAGCTCCAATTGGGTTCAACCCCTCAAAAATGTATCACCCTGTATCTGATCAAAATCGCCTAATTGCCCTAAATACTGAGTTTTGCAAGTGTTATAGTTTTACCAAATTTCAATTTATTATTTGAAAATTGTAGGGGAAAACTTGAAAAACATCGAAAAAATCTCGAACTTTGACTCCCTGTATATAGGAAACGAAGCTTCCGCGCATAAGTTCACAAACATGATGATTTCATCTTGAAAATATGACCCTGTTTCTATAGTATCATGACATTGAATTTACTTCGGAATTTACCATATTCATCTAGGGTTATAAATAAATGTACTTTCCTGTTTGGGCTAGATATTAATATCAAATATTCAATAATATCATATTCAATGAATTTACCTACCTACCTAAGGAAGGAACTACCTATCTCTTGTGACTCATGTAAATTTTGAGCACTAATTTTGAAAAAATGAGTTCTGATATATTTTTTCATTGTGTTATAAAGAGTTCTGAAGTTCTAAACCTATTTCATCAATTGTTCTGATTCTGAACTAAGCAAATTATTGAATAATTCAAGGAAATAAAATAGGAAAATGTATTTCTATATATAGGCGGCATTTCTTGTTGGAATACTATTCCGTTTTCTTTCGTATTGAAGAAAAAAGGGGAAGATCATTAGAAAATATAGAATCTGAAAAAATCAGCTGTCATGAGGTGCCGATCTTTAAAAAATAACAATTTCGATAAATAATTAATTCCAAATAACATAACAGTTCTGATGGAAGTTCTGAGTAGCGCTCGACAAGTTCTTCAAAGTATTCTAATTTTATATACATTTTCATTTATCAGCTGTCATAAGGTGCCGACCTCAAAAAACTAACATAACCGATAAAAAATAATTTCGAACAGTTCTGATGAGAGTTCTGGAGTAGCGCCCGACGAGTACTTCGAAACATTCTCATTGTGTTTCAGAGAGAAATCGATACTTTTTCATTTATCAGCTGTCATAAGGTGCCGACTTCAAAAACTAAAGCATTCGATAAAAAATTAATTTCAAATAACAGAACAGTTCTGATGAGAGTTCTGATTAGCGCTCGATGAGTTCTTCAAAATACCCTTATTGTGTTTTAGTGACTAATCGAACGCTGCTCTGAACTCAATTTCGTATTTTATTTCCTCGAATTATTCAATAATTTGCTCAGTTCACCAGAACTATTGATGAGATTTCCAGAATTCTTTATAATATAACGAAATATATCAGAACTCATTTTCTCGAAAAAACGGCGCTGCGTGAAAATAGCGCTCAAAATTAATGTTTTCCATTTACATCTACGATTTGCTGGAACTATTCAATATTTCAGTCAGGAACTCTGATGGAACCCCATCAAATCTACTCAGAACTCCAAAAAAAAATTAGTTTTTCAAAAGAACGGCGCCAACTTCACATGAATTCTCTTGTGCCTGAAAATTGTGATGAAAAAAATCGGTCAGTTCAAAGATAAACATGATTTTTACGGTATTGCATAACATAGTGATACGGATTACTGTGCTAGTTTTTTCAAATTATAAATAAAATTGTTTTCATGCTCCAATTAATGTTTTGCAAAGTTTTTTGACTTTGAGTTCATTGTTCCTATTTTTTTTATGATTAAACACATTTTATTCCATAACTTTATCATCTTCTTGAGTTCAACATTCCTGCAATCTGCAATATTACTTGTTATCTACGTACCTATTATTCAATCAGTGGACAATTATTATGATCTCTTGTCTGGGTGGGATGAGTTTAATGGCATCCATTAATAATGAGTAATATGAGAGGATAATCTGATTGACATATTTTTATGCTCTTATCATTGTTGCGAAAGATTTAAATATCGCTTCAGTAATTATTTAATGTAACTCCCTATTGCTAGATTCTTGTGAATCATGTTCATAATCTTCACAATAGATACATCTGTAGGAAGGTACTACATTGTTTTCAGGCGGCACTTCCAAAAATATTGATAGAAGTTGTTTATGGAAAATATCCTGTTGCCTGTTGTTATTCGATTTTCCTCAACTCTGTATGTATATCATTTGAGGAGGCCACGTCATTTCATGTTCATATTTACTTAAAAGGTATATATTCTATTTATATTCAATACACCAGAGGCTACAATCACCCACTACAATTGGATACAGTAAGCAAGGATAACCACTGACATTCGATTTCAGTCGAGAAATAATCCATTGGCGTTACACCCTTTTTATTACTATTATCTATCTCAAAATGCCAGAATATGTATAGTATTCATTTCTCTAGATTTTCTCTCTTCGTTTCTATTTATGGTTATTATGTCACTGCTTTGAAAATTTCAGGATTAGAAAGCATTAAAGGAGAATTGAAAATGAAAATTCTCAGATATAATTATGAACATAAAAAATATATTTATATATACAGCGTGTCTCACTTTAAACGCCCCCCCCTCTATATCTCAGTTATTAGTCATGCGATTCCAACCAAATTTAGTGTGGTATGAATAACCATCAATATGATCAATTTTATTGAGATGAACATTATTTCGGACAGTGCCGTGCGTTTTTATTGAAATAAAAAGGGGTCGATTTTTCATAAAATCATATAAGGCATTTTTTTACAGGAAATCTAACCTCATATTATTGTTCCTCATGCTTTCGAACGTCCATATGCAAAAAATCACCGAATTCCGAATTAACAGGATTGGCTTCATTTTTTTCATTTTCAGTCTCGAATAGATAGTGACTTCAAATCAACTACGAATTTTCGAACGTTCAATAGCTCTGGTAGGTGGAAAATCATGATTTGGAAGGAAAAACGAGTTATACTTTATTATGTTGAACTCACCGTTTCCGAGTAAATAGATATTACGTTCGCAAAAATGCTGTTTAGATGTGCCTGTTTTTGTAAAACCCTTCATAGGCATCTTATGAAAATCCACATATGTGGCTTTGAAACCATGAAGAACAATATTATGAGGTCAGTTTTCCTGTGAAAAAATGCCCAATATGATTCAATAAAAAACTGACCCCTATTCATTTCAATAAAAAAGCACGACACTGTTTAAAATGATAATTGTCTTTGAAGAACTGGTCATATTGATGATTATTCATACCCATACAAATTTGGTGAAGATCGCACGACTGATAGCTGAGATATAGAGGGGGGTGCCGTCTGAAATGAAACACGCTGTATATATAAAGAAATACATTGATAATTCGCATTCTCTATGGGATGAAAATATCAATTCTTTCTCGGTTTATTCAACAGAAAACCACAACTTTCCTGGCTATATACCACGACGAATTCGAACACAAAATCTTCTGGAGTAAAGAATTTTCATTCTCCTTCATATTAAGATATGCACATAATATCATCCTGAATATTCAACAGAAAACTACTACTTTCCTGGCTATTTGCCACGTCGAACATTGAATTATATCTGTTGAATATTGAGAATTATATTTTGTGCATATCTTTATATTATGAAGATGAATGCAAATTCTCTACTTCAGAAGATTTTGTTTTCAAATTCTTATCGTGTATGTTCAATTGATTCAATTCAATGTTCGTCGTGGCATATAGCCAGGAAAGTAGTTGTTTTCTGTTGAAAGAACCGAGAAAGAATTCTCAATGTATTTCTTTATGTTTATAATTATATCTGAGAATATTCCTTTTCAATACTTCCACCCAATCAAGGGGTTAAA